GCTGGAATTGAATCTTGGACCTGTAATCTCAATTCTCGGTCAAAGAGGGACAGATGGTTCCATTCATATCCCAGCAAAGAACCCTGGTCCAGGGTCTGCTCGGGAGACCAAGCCCATGTAAAAAGGGAAGGTCGATGCTCCCCTGATGTGGATGCAAGAGGAGGTGAAGGGATAAGCTGCGTCTCTCCTGTCTGCCACTGGGCTTTGGAGAATTGTTGCTCCAGCGCCCTATGTCTGCTATCTGCTTGCTTGTCATTGGCCTTAGAGGTCCGTTTGACCTTGGCCTTGGCTTTTGCAGGTGTATCCAGACTGGATGGCTTGCGTTTTATATTTCCACTGGAAGTGGAAGCCTGTGAAACGGTGTTATCCGCGAAATGTTTTCTTCTTCCTAGGGGGGCATGACAGAAAATAATTGAGAAGCACTGATCTAATGAGAGATGAAACAAGCTGAAAGAAAAGATCCTCTCCTGCAAGTAATCTGGTAATAAGCTCTTTTAGTCAAACAGTTCACCTGCTGTTTTTTTGGGTAATTTACAGCTGATAATCAACATTAACAAGGAAGTACTTGAGTAGTGTGAGGATCGAGCCTTCTAGAGGCTCAAAATGGCGCCCACAGGTTGTTTGAATTGGTAATGAACCCAGGAAGGTGATTTCAGTTTTCAGCCGAAAATTAGTAGTTTAAAGCTTCTCATTCACAGCAAGATCCTGGAAGGGGGTGGGGGAGGTGGATTGTAATGAGGAGGCAGCAATCTACGATCAGTTGTCTGCCTCTGAAAAACTCACAGAGAAGGGAATTGATTAAGAGAGAAGAAATGGTGCAGCACTGAGCTCAGAGCTGAACCAATCCCCCCCCCCCAAGAAGGAAAAAAAAGAGAGAATCCACGAATGGCAATACCTTTCTGAATCTAAATTGGAGCCAAATTCTCAGGTGTCTTCAGGGCTGAGACCAAATGAAACTGGGGCATGGTCAGACCCTGCAAAGGCGTGGCAACTTTGATTGTTTGGTCTGATTGGGCTAAAAGACTAAATCAACTCCATTCGTGGAGTCTACATTCCTCTACATGCTGGAGAATGATAAGTGAGCACCTCTCCAGGCTAGATGAGTTCAAATCGCCAGGACCAGATAGATTACACCCCAAGGTTCTCAAGGAACTGGCAGATGTGATCTCAGAACCACTGAACTATATTTTTCAAAGATCCTGGGGCACTGGGGAACTACCAGAGGACTGGAAAAGAGCTGATGTAGTTGCCATCTTCAAAAAAAATTACAAGAAGAAATTACAGACCTATCAGCCTGACCTCAATATCTGGGAAGATTCTGGAAAAGATAATCAAACAACAAATCAGCGAACATCTACAGGCAAACAAAGTCATTACTAAAAGCCAACATGGGTTTGTCAAAAACAGATCATGCCAGACAAAACTTATTGCATTCTTTGACCAAGTGACAAAATTAGTGGATAAGAGGAATGCTGTAGATATAATTTACTTGGACTTCAGTAAGGCATTTGATAAAGTAGATCACAACTGATAAGATAGAAAAATGTGGGTTAGACAGCATCACCATCAGAGGGATTTGTAGCTGGCTGACCGGCCGTACTCAGTGTGTGGTCCTCAATGGAACCGCATCTACATGGAGGGAAGTATATAGTGGGGTGCCCCAGCGCTCTGTTCTGGGCCCAGTGTTCAACATCTTCATCAACGATTTGGACAAGGGGATAGATGGGGATCAAATTTGCAGATGACACCAAGCTGGCAGGAATAGCCAACACCCCAGAAGACAGGCTTAAGATACAGGGGAATCTGGACAGACTTGAACATTGGGCACTATCTATCAAAATGAAATGCAACACTGAAAAAAGTAAAGTTCTACATTTGGGCAAGAAAAACCAAATGTACAGGTATAGTATAGGGCAGTGATGGTGAACCTTTTAGAGACTTGAGTGCCCAAACTGCAACCAAAACCCACTTATGTATCATCGGGTTCCGGGTGGCCGTGGCCTGCTGGGTGGGCGTGGCCAGCTGGGTGTGGCTACAGTGGCCATGGCAGATGGGTGGGCATGGCCAGGGTGGGTTTGGCCAGCTCAATGTTGCTCCTATGAAGGGATGCCTGTGGGGGTCGGGCAGGGTTAGGGGAGATCCAGGGGGTCTCTGGCAGGTGGAGCGATGGGTAGGAAGCTCATCCTGCGGGGTGAGGCGAGGCAAGGCAGGGCAGGGGTGCCATTGTCTCAGGGCAAGGCGAGGCAGGGGCCGGGGCAGCTGCTGCCTGACACCATCAGCCCCCGCACATGGAAGCCAGCAAGTGTATGGGTACTGGGATGCATCTGGCCATGTGGGACTTCAGCGAGTTAGCACACAGCTGGTTGAACAGGATGGTTGCCATCTCCAGGGCATGGCATGCATGCCCAAAGAGAGGGCTCTGGGTGCCACTTCTGGCACACATGCCATAGATTCGCCACCACTGGTATAGTGGGTACCTTGCTCAATAGTAGTAACTGTGAGAAGGACCTTGGAGTCCTAGTGGACAATCACTTAAATATGAACCAGCAGTGTGCTGCAGCTTCCAAAAAGGCCAACATAGTGCTAGGCTGCATTAACAAAGGGATAGAATCAGGATCACATGAAGTGTTAATATCACTTTACAATTCCTTGGTAAGACCACACTTGGAACACTGCATCCAGTTTTGGTCACCACGATGTAAAAAAGATGTTGAGACTCTAGAAAGAATACAGAGAAGAGCAGCAAAGATGAAACATATAAGGAATGGTTGCTGGAATTGGGTATGTCTAGTTTAATGAAGAGAAGGATGAGGGGGGACATGATAGCAGTGTTCCAATATCTCAGGGGCTGCCACAAAGGAGAGGGAGTCCAGTTGTTTTCCAAATTACCTCAAGGCAGGACAAGGAGCAATGGATGGAAACTAATCAAGGAGAGAAGCAACCTAGAACTAAGGAAAAACTTCCTGACAGAACAATTAACCAGTGGAACAACCTGCTTCCAGAAGCAGTGAATGCTCCAACAATGGAAGTTTTTAAGAAGAGACTGGACAGCCATTCGTCCGAAATGGTATAGGGTTTCCTGCCTGAGCAGGGGGTTGGACTAGATGACCTTCAAGGTCCCTTCCAACTTTATTATTATTATATTCTATTATTATATTCTATTATATGAAAAAGAAAAACAAGAAATTCAAGAAGAAACCGGCATGGCTGCACAAAGATCTCTCAGACAAACTGAAAGACAAAAAGGACAAGTACAAAAAATGGAAAGAGGGACACATAACTAAGGCCGATTATCAGCAGACAGGCAGAACATGAAAAGACAAAGTCAGGAAAGCAAAGGCTCAGAATGAACAAAGACTTGCAACAGAAATCAAGGATAATAAAAAAAAGTTTCTTTCAACATATTAATAACAAGAAAAAAGTCAAGGAAACTGTAGGTCCACTAAAGAGAGAAGAAGGCAAGCAAGTAACAAGCAATCAGGAGAGTAGAGCTGCTTAACTCATTCTTTGCATCAGTCTTCACACAAAAAGAAATTATATCACAACAAACAAAAAACAAATACTGCAAAAGACAAACTAGAAACAAAAAAATAAAATAAGCAAGAAAATGGTAAGAGAACACCTTGATGAATATAAATCACCAGGACCTGACAGATTACATCCCAGAGTTCTGAAGGAGCTGGCAGATGTTATCTCAGAACCATTGTACCATATCTTTCAAAAATCTTGGAGCACTGGGGAATTACCTGAGGATTGGAAAAGGGCTGATGTGGTTCCCATCTTCAAGAAAGGGAAAAAAACAGACCAGGAAATTACAGACCAATCAGTTTAACATCAATACCTGGGAAAATACAGGAAAAGATAATCAAAAAACAGATCTGCAAACAACTAGAAGCAAACAAATACTATAACTAGTAGCCAGCATGAGTTTGTTAAAAACAGATCATGCCAAGCCAATCTTATTTCATTCTTTGATAGACCAAATTAGTAGACCATTGAAATACTATGGACATAGTATACTTAGATTTCAGTAAGCATTTGACAAAGTAGACCACAATCTACTCCTTTGTAAGCTAGAAAAAAGTGGAATAGACAACATCACCACCAGATGGATTTATAGCTGGCTGACAAACTATACTCAATGAGTAATCCTCAATGGTACTACATTCACATGAAATAAACAGTAGGACCACAAGGCTCCGTCTTAGGCCCAGTACTCTTCAATATCTTCATCAATGACTTAGATGAGAGAATAGAAGGGGAACACCTCAAATTTGCAGATGACACTAAACTGGCAGGAATAGCCAACATCCCAGATGACAAGCCAGGATTCAAAAAGATCTTGACAAACTTGAACAATGGGCCCTATCCAACAAAATGAGTTTTAATATGGAGAAAAGCAAAGTTTTACATTTAGGCAGGAAAAATCAAGGGTATAAATACAGATTAGGTGAGACCTGGCTCAAAAACAGTAACTGTGAGGGGGACCTTGGAGTCTTATTGGATGACTATGAGCCAGCAATGTGCAGCAGCAGCCAAAAAAGCTAATACAATTCTGGGCTGTATAAACAGAGGCATAGAATCAAGATCACGCAAAGTATTAGTACCACTTTATAAAATCCTAGTGAGGCCACACCTGAAATATTGCAATGAATTTTGATCACCATATTACAAAAAAGATGTTGAGACCTTGGAAAAAGTTCAGAGAAGAGCAACTAAGATGATCCAAGGCCTGGAGACTAAAACTTATGAAGAATGGCTGCAGGACTTGGGTTTGGCTAGTCTAAAGAAAAGAAGAACTAGGGGTGACATGATAGCAGTATTCCAGTATTTGAGAGGCTACCACAAAAAAAGAGGGGGTCAAATTATTCTCCAAAGCACCAGAGGGCAGGACAAGAAACAATGGATGGAAACTAATCAAGGATAGAAGCAACCTGGAATTAAGGAGAAAGTTCCTAACAGTGAGGACAATTAACCAGTGGAATGGCTTGCCTTCAGAAATCATGGGCGCTCCATCACTGGAGGTTTTTAAGAATAGACTGGACAGTCACTTGTCTGAGATGGTAGAGGTTCTCCGTTCCATTTTTTTCTTTTTCTTTCTTTTGTCCAGTTGCCTATTAACATCTTTGTCAGCATATGCCAAAGTTAAAATAGGTATAAGTCAATAACATTCTGCAACAGTAACATATTCACTTAAATCAAAAGCATCTACTCCAGGGGTGTCAAACTCGCAACATCACCTGACGTGTCATGACGTATTGCAACTTTTTTGCCATTGCCGGCAATGGGGTGGGCACAGTTTCGCTATGATGCATCTGGCCCACAGGCCAGCAGTTTGACACCCCTGATCTACTTTCTTGTTATCTCTGTGTGAGATGAGAAATTGAGGTTTAGCCAATTTAATCAAAAGCCAGATGGGTGTAATTTGACATGTGATTTACAATTACAATAGTTCTGGGTAAGATCTTGTAAAATATTTGAAAAAAGTGTTTCACAAAGTAAGTGTCAATGCTGTGACAAACCAAACTGAAACAATTTTCATTTTGTCTTTGTTGCCACATTTTAGTTGGAGATTTTTGATGAAGGGAAAGGGTGGCGGGCATGTGTGTGTAATTCTCAGTTAGCCAAAACAATTCCTAATTGTGACAACCAAGGACAGTGCTGATAAGATTTTGGCGGGCTGGAGGGCTGAGAGGAGAGCCCGCATTTTGCAACAATAGGTGAGTGTGATTTATGACAGCAATTTGGGGTGGGAATTGCAATAGTAATTTTGTAACCAGGGGGAGGGGATTTTTAGTCTTGAGTTCACCTACGTATGTGCTGATATTTTGTTTCCTAATAAAATGTATCTTTAAGGAAGACATTTTTGCCTTGAAGTTCTTTTAAACCGTTTCATCTATCAGAACCATAACATTAACCCAAGACTCACATTTAATTTAAAATAACAGGGTCCTGAGCTCCGGTTGCCTACCCAAAGCCATGGGGAAGACAACAAAAACTCAGGGAAGATCCATGATGGAGAAAAAGGAGGAACCTGTCACCAGCACCGTAACCACACGGACTACATTGGTGGATGGAGTGCAGGCCATAGCCCCGATAGTGTGGTGTTGACGAGCACACTGGTGGTGGGCACGTGGCAGGAATGTGAAATCCAGCAGGAACTCATCTGGTCATAAGAATGGACCCTGCCTAGCAGAGATTCTTTGCGTTCAGAGGTTACCCAGCTGAAAAAGAGTACTGCAAAGGCTGCTGAAGCCGAATTCCCACTGACTGCCACCAGCGGATCATGATCTCCTGATCAGAGAGGCACTAAACTTGCAGCACCTTGGAATGAGTCGGGTGAGTGGAAATATTTGACAGCCATTCGGAGCCAGTCAGTTGAATGTTTGAGAGAGACGTTTGAGGGGCTGGATGTGAGAGGCAAGGAGCAGATCACTCGTCATTTACTCTCCAGTGAGCAGGATCACAGACTCCCCCAAGGCCATCCCCATTCCAGAAGAAGCCCTAGTCCCATAACCAGAGCTAGAGCCACATCCCCACGACCAAAACAGCCAGCTTTAACTTTGAGTCCAGTTTGAGGCCGAAGCCCAGATTGGCATCAGCGTCTCATTAGCCCCAACCGTCGATGGCAGCCACTAAGCCCTGATCACCATCAATGTTATGTCAGCCCCGATCATCATAAGCGATATGTTAGCCCTGAACAGCACCATCACTACATGAGTCCTGACCGGTACTGGCACAGAGCAAGCCCTGACTGCCGCCGATACTCTGATAGCCCTGACAGATACCCATGACGGACTAGCCCAGATTGCTATTGGTACTAGGCCAATCCAGACATCGTCATTACTGAGTTAGTACCGAGCCACCCCCCTCAATGACTCAGTCCTGACTGCCATTACTGGCATCACACCAGTCCAGGACCCTTGCCAAGAATTGATCAGGCAGCGGGGTTCCAAAGATATCAATTGCAGCAGTATGGCTGACTGCATGCTCTCTTAGACAGACAGCAGCCCGTGGCAGCTCCTTCTTTCAAATCTAAGTTTGATGGTGACCCCAAGAAGTAAACTTTCTTCTTGACCCAAGTGCGCTCTCACATAAATAGAAATGTCAATGGCTATCCCAACCATGCCGCCATGGTCGATGTGATAGCAGCTAACCTAGAGGGGGAGACAACAGAATGGCTAAACAGCTTGTACAATGAGCAAGCACCTGAGCTATGGGGCTACAATCTGTTCATCCAAGGGTTAAGAACCAGATTTGAGGATGGATCCATAGTTTTACAGCCTGAAAAGGATATTCATGAAGTAAAGCAGAGAGGTCGACCAGGTAAGGAATATGTGCGTGAATTCCAAAGAGTAACTGGCAGAATTGAGCAGTGGCCTGAACAATCCCTAATTCATCACTTCAAGAACGATCTGGACCCAGATCTATTCCAGGCTTGTGTCTAACGGGAGATCCCTGATCAACTCTAGGAGTGTTATCACGGCCATGCACTTAGACATTGAGCTAATCCACTACAAGAAAACACCAACTTCTGGACCTGGACCAAGACCAGACCAGACATGATGTCCACCTGCCTGACAAACCCCACCGACAGAAGTGACTGAACCTTCAAAAGCACCTTCAGGACCGCCAATCAAGTGTTTCAGATGTGGCCAGCCGGGTCACCGGTCAGCGGTTTGTCCAGTTCCTTTCCCTCAGCAAAAAAGCGCCTTAGCTCCACCAGAAAGAAAAAAGGGAAGCCAGTCGCCCACTAGAGAGAAATCAAATTGGATTACTCAGGAGCAAGCTACTCAAGTCACCTCACCTACTCGAGAGAGAGTCAAGGCCCCAGCTAAAGCTGCCATCTCACTTGCTCCATATGACAGTGGTCATGAAGGAGAGAATGACCCAGTGGTGAGTCAACCTGTTCCACCTTTTTCCCTCTCTACCGAACTCATAGTTCCCAAGACGGGCGTCCAAATGGACTTAAGGGTGTTAGTAGACTCTGTGTGTTTGCGATGCCTAATCAGCTTCCCAGCTGTCCTCAAGTTAGGCATCAGGGCAAGAAAACTTTCCACCTCCATGAAGTTTGAGCAGGCAGATGGATCTTTAATGGGTGGAACCTTAATAACCTAGCTGATGGAGCCGGTGCAACTAGAAGTGGGGGAACATTGGGAATTTATCTGATTTGTGATGGCCCCAAAAATGACTGAAGCAGTAATTTTAGGTTTAGCTTGGTTGGACAAATGGAAACCCTTGATATAGTGGGAGGAAGGAATGAGAACTCTGAGGTTACCCATAGGACCATCACCCCCAACTCCTCCCACAATGCCAGTGGAACAGCAAAACCACCATCTGAGACACTAAAAACGGCCTTGAAATTCTTTTAAATGGTTTCATCTTTCGTAACCATGACAGTAAGTATGTGTAACAAGGCACTTCTATACAAAGCATAAAGTGCCCCCTACTTTGCAAGGTTTAAAAACCCACTGCTTCAAAAGCTGACCTTTTCCCATGGTTTGCATATGCATGTACAGAAAATACTTCTAATTGAAGAGGTCAGTGGCTATGCATGTACATATATGCCAATCCTAATGAAAACAACCCCTTTATGGATTACTGCCTTGTCGTGGCAAAGGAGCTTGTGTAATTCAATGAAGCTATGAGCTAAGCCATGTAGGCCACCCAAGATGGACAGGTCATAGCAGAGAGTTCTGACAAAATGTGATCCACTGGAGAAGGAAATGGCAAACCACTCCAGTATCTTTGCCATGAAAACCCCATGGACAATACTAAAAGGCAAAAAGATATGCTGGAAGATGAGCCCCTCAGGTTGGAAGATGTCCAATATGCTACTGGGGAAGAGCAGAGGGCTACTACTCATAGCACCAGAAAGAATGAAGCGACTGGGCCAAAGCCAAAAGGACGCTCAGCTGTGGATATATCTGGTGGTGAAAGGAAAGTCCAATGCTGTAAAGATCTTTTCTCCATAGGAACCTGGAATGTAAGATCCATGAATCAAGGCAAGCTAGACATAGTCAAACAAGAGATGACAAGACCGAACATCGACATCTTAGGAATCAGCAAACTAAAATGGACAGGAATGGGTGAATTTAACTCAGAGGACCATCTTCTGCGGGCAAGAATCCCACAGAAGAAATGAAGTAGCCTTCATAGTCAATAAAAGAATAGGAAAAGCAATATGGGGATACAATTCCCAAAATGACAGAATGATCTCAGTTCGAATCCAAGGCAAACCATTCAATATCACAGTAGTCCAAATCTATGCCCCAACCACTGGTGCTGAAGAGGATGAAATTGACCAGTTCTATGAAGCCCTACAGCACCTTATAGAATTAACACCAAAAAATGATGTCCTTATCATCATGGGGGATTGGAATGCTAAAGTAGGAAGCCAAAAGATAACCGGAATAACAGGCAAGTTTGGCCTTGGAGTACAAAATGAAGCAGGGCACAGGCTGATAGAATTGTGTAAAGAGAATACAATGGTCATACTAAACACTCTTTTCCAACAACCCAAGAGACAGCTCTACACATGGACATCACCAGACGGTCAACACAGAAATCAAATTGACTATGTGCTCTGCAGCTAAAGATGGAGAAGCTATATAGAGTCTATACAGTCAGTAAAAACAAGACCAGGAGCTGACTGTGGCTCAGATCATGAGCTTGTTGTTGCAAAATTTAGGCTTAAATTGAAGAAAGTAGGGAAAAGCACTAGGCCACTCAGGTATGAACTAAATCATATTCCTGATGAATATACAGTAGAGGTGACAAATAGATTTAAGGAATTAGATCTGATAGACAGAGTGCCTGAAGAACTATTGGACGGAGGTTCACAACATTGTACAAGAGATAGCAATTAAAACCATCCCAAAGAAAAAGAAATGCAAGAAAGCAAAATGGTTGTCTGAGGAAGCTTTGCAAATAGCTGAGGAAAGGGAAGTGAAAGGCAAAAGAGAAAGAGAAAGATACACCCAGCTGAATGCAGAATTCCAGAGAATAGCTAGAAGAGATAAGGATACCTTCTTAAATGAACAGTGCAAAGAAATAGAAGAAAACAACAGAATAGGGAGGACCAGAGATCTCTTCAAGAAAATTGGAGATATGAAGGGAACGTT